CTCTGAACCCCCTGACCCTGCACCTCCTGCCGTGTCCTCTGAGCCCCCCGACCCTGCACCTCCTGCCGTGTCCTCTGAACCCCTCGACCCTGCACCTCCTGCCGTGTCCTCTGAACCCCCCGACCCAGCACCTCCTGCCGTGTCCTCTGAACCCCCCGACCCTGCACCTCCTACCGTGTCCTCTGAGCTCCCCGACCCTGCACCTCCTGCCGTACCCTCTGAGCCCCCCAACCCCATGGCACCTCCTGCCATGTCCTCTGAGCCCCCCGACCCTGCACCTCCTGCCGTACCCTCTGAACCTCCCAATCCCATGGCACCTCCTGCAGTGCCCTATCAGCCCCCTGACCCCATGGCAACTCCCTCCATACCTCTGAACTCCCCTGATCCTGGCACATCTTCCATGCCCTCTGATGTCCCCAGCCCATTCCTGCTTAGGGGGTTCCCTTTAGCACGGAGGGATGTGGGGGGTGGGGCTGTAGTTAGAGGATGGATGGGGAGTGGCTAGGGTGATACAGAACCACGGCCCTGACCTCCAGCTTCATCCTCACGTCCATGCTGGCACCAGCCACTTGGTCCAGACACCGGCTGGCGGCTTCCACCTGACTGCAGTATCTGCCATAGAGCAGGAACCTGGGAGGGCAAAGGGGATTATGGGCGTGAGCCGGGGGAGGGGAGGGAGAGCTGGAATGTGGCCCTGGCCCAGTCTGGAAAGAACCCTTGGCTTGTCTTCTTCCTGTCTCCACCCACAGCCGAGGGGAGGGAGAAAGAAAGAAAGAAAGAAAGAAAGAAAGAAAGGTGGGAACTCAGGAAAGAGGTGCTGGGAGCCCCATATCCTGGGAACGGAGAGTGGGGGACACAGGGACCAGCTGTGCCCTGACTCCCTGGACCCACCTCTGCTCTCCGAGTGTGAAGGGAGCTCCCACGAGGTGGGCTTAGCTTTCTTGCTCAGCAGGGGGCACCATGGGGGCAGGGAATAAAGAAGTGGGGTGGGGGCGGTGGTGAGAAGGAGGCATCTCCACGGATTCTTCTAGACACTGAGCTCTTGGGGCAGGGAGGAGAAAGGGGAACCGACCCTCGCCCCAGCAAGGTCAAGGGGGACGGGGAAGAACATGTGGCTTCAGAGCATGCCCAAGTGACCCACTAGGGGATCTCCTCCACCTCTCCCCAGGGGTTCTTCTCCCCACCCGCACCTTTCCGGACAAGCCTCACCTTTCCTTGTACTTGATAAAGACCTGGTAGAGGTTCTGGGCGTTGCTGAAGGACAGGACATTCTTCAGGTCATCCAAGAAGAATCGATGCACCTTCACGAGGTCCTAGGAGCGGGTTGGGGGGCAGAGGGGGGGAAATCAGCTCAGAGCCACTCAACCTGCCACAACTAGCTCACTCACCAGCTATGGGCTGTACAGAAACATCACGTGCACCACAAGTCCCATGCTGGAGTCCTAGGGGAGGCGGACTGAGATCTAGACCCCAGGATTAGACTGTGGAACCCACCGGGACATGTGCTTCCTGGGCTAACACCGGATGTGAAATTTGCCCAGTCCCCACTTATGGAGCAGGAACCCATTGTACTGGGTGCTGTACACACACAGAACAAAAATATCAGTGGGGCCAGATCGCAGTGGGTGCGACCTCACTGGAGTCAATGGGCCAGACTCTTCAGCTGGTGTTAATGAGATTCCCTTGTTCTAACAACCAGGCCTCACTCCTATCCAGAAATAAAACCCGGGAGTCCTGACTAACAATCCATCTTGATCTAAGCAATAGACCCACACTGTTTCCCACAGCAAGGAATAGAACCTAGCAGTTCTGACTACAAGCTAGCTCGTCCTAACCAGTAGGCCACACTCCCCTACCAGAGCCTTTCAATTCTAGGAACCTACCCATGACCTACTGCAGGAGATAGGGCGACATTCATAGCTACCCCTGCATGGATTGCCAGTGTAATTTGGATCCAGGGCCTTCAGCACAGGCTGCTGCCTTTTGAGATAATGGAGCAACTCTATCCGCTCCTAGCAGTAGCAGGTTGTTATCCACTTTGTGAAACAGCCACTAGAATGGGGGATATATAGCACACACTGAACTTCTGAGTCACACAGTCCCCTAAACAGGGAAGGTGGATTGATGGGTGGTATTTAGGCAGGGTTTCCAGGACGGAGCTTAGTTTGAGTCAGGAGAGGTATATGAAAAAGAGAGCAACTTACCTCGATGTTGATGAAAATGTTCTCCATGTCCTCAGGTTTTAGAAATCTCTGCAGGGGCTTCATAAAGTGCTGCAAACACACAACGGGGAGTCGTCACGCAGGGCAGACATGTCTGAATCACA